AATAGGCATTTGTTCAGATAAGTTTCCCTTTATAACTGTGCTTCAAGTATCAATTACCAGCTCTTATTTTGAAAAATCCTCCACAGTCAATTTAAACTGAAGTATTAAAAATTAACCACCATGTTTTCCCATGAAACCACAATCCTGATAAACACAGACACTTTGTAGGGGTTTGTTAGTTATGAGATTCTAACAGTATTTCACAAACACTTTAAAGTTGTTGTCGTCTCGAATCACTAACCCTGCACTCTTTGCATAGTTCACAGGTTTATTTATTTATTCCTATTTGATCCATTCATGTTAAAACAACCTTGATATTAACTTTTCAATGGTTAATCTCTGTGCAATTTACAATAGTATATTTATTTTCTTCATTTCTTAGACATTTTCTGCTCTGTTTGATCATGGTCTCTTATGTTTCTGACTGAAAAAGGATTAAAGTAGTCGAATGATGGAGACTATTTCATTTCTGTAGCCTTTTTGATGTGGGCTTGGACTCCAGTACTTGTATGGATGAAAAAAACATTAACGTAAAAAAACTTGTAATTTAGGATCCTTTAAAGTTTTGTAGAATATTCTTGAGTTATTCATCTGTTTGTTGGAAATGTTTTTCTTTAACAGAAACATTTGAGCTTAGGTCAAAATAAAACACATTTAAATATCAGTTATGTTAATGTCCATCCATCCATCCATCCCCTCAGCATCAACCTCCGGTCCCTTTGTAGGACTGACTTCTTTCCATGTGGAAAAGCAGTTGCTCCGAGCTCCTTGTCGTTTATAGAGATGTTAATATTTTCCCTGGCAAAGCTCGGCTGAAGATTGTGGAAAATAGTGCTAAATGTTTATTTCACTGACTATAAAACACAGCATTTCAGCATGGAAGTACCTTCTATTGAGGTAACTGTGGCGGTTTACATAACCTTTATCAGGTATTAACAGGTATTTTACCTGCAATGTTAAATAAACCCAAGCAATGTTCCTTTTTGTATTTTTTTTCCCCCAAAAAGCTTCTTCAAGCTGTTGTCATGTAGGATGGATGGAGGGGAAACTAGAAATGCAGATGAACAACTCACATTCATGGCTGATACATCTCCTCATCACCTTAAG